ACACGTCGCCCATTTATGGAGCCTTACAGGGTTGACATGAAAGTGTAAGCAGAGAAATTTTTAAAATGTAAGTCTGCCAAAGCGGAACACAGCTGTCAACCTGGCCAATATGAGAGTTAATATTCAATATTTTCGTTTCTATAATCAAGTCCTTACCCTAATGTTCATTTTCCTTTGGGTTTTAATTTGCTAACTTGGCTGGTTCAAGACAGGTAATTCATCTTTTCGCCAGCTATTGATTCATGGCTAGTTTCCTTCATAGAATTAAAATAAATATAAAGAATATTAAAAATAAGTTAGTTTTTTGCACAACACAGTCCAAATGGGCTTCGCATTCCCTTTTCTTGGCATTTTAAGTTTACTTGACAGTAGCCAGCAAGATGCCTTTATGATCTAATACGCGAGAATTTATGATAATAAAAAGCTAAATATAGACCTGACAGCAGGTGATTTAGCTCTAAATATACTCCAATATATATAAAAAATTACACTAAAAAAATAAAAAAAAAATTAAGAGCAAATTAATGTTTCATGTAAGTTCTGGCATAGTAAAGTCAGGTTCATTTTTCGTTGAAAGCTCTTTTGCGGCACTCAATTCGTTTTCTTTATCCCAGCTGAGCGATTGCCACTGAAAAAGCACAATATCGATAATCACCCTTGCAAATACTTTTGCTCCGTATGTTTGCTGGTAAACGTAAAGCTGTAGACGATGCCCTGAGAAAAATTCAGGTGGAGAAGTTCTCCATTTTTGTACGGAACCTAACAATGACAGGAACACAAATGAAGTCAAGCAAGTCATTTTGCATAGAGTTCACTTTTCCTTTTTCCTTTTTGATGTTGCCTAGCTAAAAAAGGGAAACAAAAAAATTTAAAAAAAAATCTACACTTAATAGAGAAACTAACAGGAAATTAGTGAAAAAATAAGTATTCTATAATTATCTAACTAGAACAATAACTAGAACAGAGTATGGTCGAATGTTGTTGAACACCTTCCAATTTTCCTATGATGACTCTTTTTCGTCTTGAAAATTTACTTCCAGTGCGACAAATAGGTTCATTTTTTGCTGTTTGCTGAATTTCATAACTGTGTGGTTGCTTTCGCTCAATCGATGATGTTAATTCACAATCTGTCACAGCGACCTCAGAAAAGTAATTAAACCAAAACACAACGGGAATTGGCTTTCTTTATGTACTCCGTCACCAAGAATAGAGTATTCATGAGGGATGACTAGTGCTAAGTTGAGGAAGTGCGAAACACTCGATGAAAAATTGGCTTTAGAAAATGACCATAGAAAACGGACAACTACCGTTAAACTCAAATTGGAGTAGGTAATTCACAGTTGATTAATTAATTCGAAAATTAATCAACTGTTAATCAAATTAAATTAACAGTAGAAAAATGTTATGACTGAAACGAATAACGAGTTATCAGGTTGCTTGAAATAGGGCGTACCCCTTGACTGAAAATTGAATATGGTTGTCGAACAAATCTAAATATTGTTTGCAAATTACAGATGTTTATACTCATTTTGGCTACGGTAAATCAATCGTTTTTATGTGTGAGGCGTAAAGTTAAATTCGACCAGGGAATAGGCGAGAAAACCGAAACTTTCAGCCAGGGAAAACTCAAGTCAACCCCGGCTGCTTAGAGACTACAGTAGAAAGGTGAAAAACGATTTAAATGAAGGAAATGTGTGAAGGAAATCTTAAAAACACACCTTTCTGGATAATCATATTTAGTGTGGAAGCCTTCCTAATACTTTTTGCCAATACTGTCACCATTATCGTGTTCTGGAAAAGGAGATTTCAGTTGAGGAAAACTTCAGTTGTCTTGATAAACCTGTCTGTCGCGGATTTACTGGTTGGTGTTGGTGCTATTGAAGAGTTTATGGGCTTTATTTGCTCGCTTTCTTGGTTCAAAACATACTTGATTCTCCGAGAGTACTCTTCCTGTGCTTCTATTAATTCCCTTGTCCTCGTTTCTTTGGAGCGGGTCTATGCGATAGTGTGGCCTTTTCGTAGCCGAACCACATCGACAAGAACATACATATATGCTGTTGGGGTAGTATGGCTTATATCCGGAATAGCACCAACCTTTTTGTCGTTGAGCGTTTTAAGTGAACATCTGCCACTTAAAGTTTATTTATGGCTTGGATCGCTTTACCTGGGTGCTTGCCTGATAACAATCGTCGTTGCATATTCTGTTATTTGGTTCTTTTCCAAAAAGCAAGATCCAAAACTTTCAAGAAATAACCACAGACGCAACAACCAATTGGCCAAAACCTTATTTGTTGTGACTTTATTTTCTTTGATAACTTGGCTGCCGTTTGTCGTTGTGTTTAACGCACGTACTATGATACCAAACAACAGTGTGATTTCCCCAATTTATCGATGTCTTCAGCTGGCAAATTCTTTCTTCAACCCAATTATTTACTGCTTTAGAATGCCGATCTTCAGAGAAACGCTTAGGGCTTCGTTCCTAATAAAGAAGAAAAAAAAAAAGAATTTGTGTGAGGGGACACAAGGCTTGCTCACAAACAGATCCCGTTTTTTTAGCCACTTCCTCCTTCTTAAACGTATTTCCCAGTAATATCAGTCCCTGCGGTTCAATTCCAACAGACTGAATGGACAAAAAGGTTACTTTAAGTAAGTTAGCAGGAAAAGAAAATGAAATCCCTTCATGCTTGGCATCCATTCTATCAAATTAATGAATTCGAATTCATCGTGGTTCTATGACTCATCTCTCTGGCCATTTTTTCCTGTTTTCTCTGTTGGAGTGCGAATGACCTGAGTTTCACCTTTTTCTTGACGTTCCAGGCGGGTTTATCGAACTAAGTCACATGTGTAAAATAATTTTACGACTGGAAACTGCTTAATACACCTATAGTCGCTGAGAAATATGGCAAATAAGATATAAATTATAAAGGATTTCGCAATGCAAATGGATAAATATGATTAATAAAATAAAAAGTTGTTAAGCTAATTTTGTTATGGTTGCCATTTTTACAATGGCAAATAGAAAGTTATATTTTGCACGATTTTTAACACTCGTCTCCTCTTTCATCATGATAATAAGTGAAATTGTTGCAACAAATTGACATTTAACCGAGAGCAACTTAGAAAGAAATCAGCTTTATTTTCTTCTGTTTCAAAGCCATAGTTGAGCTTTGAGATAATGACTAAAACGGAGGAAGACATTTTTTGTGCTGCTTTTTTCAACGCACTTTCACTTCTATCGTGCTATCAACGCTTCATATCTGCTTTCAAAACAGAAAAGAACACAGTCAAACCTCGCACGACCAAACCACTAGACGCTTACAAAAACCTTTTAACAGCGAAGAGAATTCAGTGATCATGTTTCATTTCATCGAAGCTGACGCATGTTTTAAATTCTTCTCACCTGTCAAAGTTGTATTAGCAGTTAGGCTTTCGGACAATCGATAATTGTCTTTAAAAACTCGCATACCCCTGACGAGCTTACATTTAAGTATTGATAGTAATAATAAAAAAAAAGTCCATGGCCTTTTTTCGCTCTGAGGAGGGGCTAACGCTCGATAAGCAAGCTTAGAAGCTCTTTACGGTGGCCAATTTTCATATCAACTCAGTTGATAAAACAAAATAATCTTGGTATACTCCTTCACAGACGCAGCACCCCAGTTTCTTTAGAAATTTACCCCCTTCATTCATTTGGCGAAAATAATAGATTACTTTTGGGACTATGGCTTTGTTCAAGAATAATATGAGGTTATGTGGGATTCTGTCTAATTTTCAACATGACCACATCAGTGAAAAGCGATCATACTTATCAAAACGTCAGAGATAACACTGTAGGTATAATGCAGGGACAGGAAAAGTATTTAAGCAGTGAGAACAATGATCATTGGCCCCAATTTTGTAAGGTCGCTCAAAAGAGACTGAATTGTTAGCTTGACAGCGTTCTCCGATCATCTCAGCACTTATGCGACGAGTGATCTGTTAAAAGCTTGCTCTTACATATTGTTATTTACTTTTTGGAAGTGGAAAACGACAGTAGATGCAAATGAGGTTCCTTTTTTCTTTACAGGTGAAACAATCCCCTAGCAAACGTATACTCAAGTGCTCTTCATTTTAAATTCAGCTCAGTAACTCTAATTTTCAAATGAATTGCATTGAAGTAAAAACTTAGGGCTCCGGCTCTTTTTAACTAAAAAGCGCACCCACAGTAAACGAAGCCCTCGTCTTTTAGCCGCAAACCAAAAACTGAATTTTAGCTGGCGACTGACAGCTGTTCTCTTGCTCGTCAATTAGTTCGCTTAAACCATTTTTTTCGCGAATCGCGACTAGCCGACGTGTACCTGAACCTCCTTCATAAGAGTTATGCTGACCTGGCTATTTCGTCCGTTTTGAAAATAGATGCGTTGGGCAATAACATCTTCTTTACCTTAAAAAAAACTTCAAAAGCAACTCGACTTTGCTTTTTTTCTGTTGTAAGGCACTCGATCATGGGGTAGAGTATTCTGCGGTTTTATAAAAACACCATACTCTTTTTTCTTGCCAAAACCGTTTCCGAAGCGCTTTACAACAAAGCACTCAGGACTTTTTAAGTTGTTGAAACATGGTGGCAGACGCGACACTTTTAAACAAACTTTCCTACATTTTTTTCAATCGAAGTTTTTAGCAATGACAATGTACCAGCATAAATTATAGCACTGAATATTTTTGACCATGCATGATTATTCGAAAGATTAGTTTTGGAAGTTTGCCGACTATCGCTTGGCAGCTTAAAAAGGATCAATGACAGCTGCCATTACAGATGTAAGATGAGTTCTAAAATTGTAAAATTTATGACAAGAGAGAAAGATGCAAATACAAAGCTTTCGTCAATAATGCATCAGTCTTAAGTCACTAAACACCTATATTTTACCTACTCCACTTTCTTCCTTGCATATTTATCCAGTTCAACTCACAGGAAACCGCCCAGTTATCGACTATCGTTACCATAATTGATCGGTTTTTTTCGCCGGAGAGGACAGTAATATAACGTAAGCAACGACATAGTGCGCTGCGAATTAACATGAGTTCCCTGAGGTGAGTAAATCGGATGAATACCATTACATCTTTTAGCACAAGAGCTTCTATGATGACGAGATTGGTCCTCTCTAGCGTGCATCTTATGCTTTTTGGAAAGATAATCTACATACATGTTCTCTCCGTTGGTTTAAGAAGAATGCGGCCGCGATCAAACATTTTTCCTTGTAAATTTAATGCGCCGTAAGGAAAAAGCAGGTGGCAGGCAAAAAAATTGAAGGTTTAAAACTCGCATTAGTGAGAGGAGAAAACTGTTTTGACCATTTCAAGTTTGATCTGCGTTAACAAAGTCTCTATGTATATGTGTTAGTTTTCTAAGGTAACATTTGCCAATGTGGAAAATATTGTTTCAACCACCATCAGCTACTTAAAACACTTTCCCCTCCTTTTAGATAAAAGCGCGATGTTTGATGATTGTTTGCCGAGGGCGAAGTAGACTTTGCCGGATAATCTGAACGCTGTCGAGAGGATATTTTAGCTTTAGGACATTAACATTCATTACGCAGAAAATCATAAGGGAAACTGCATTTGTTTTTGATGCTCTGTTCCTCGTTTCTTCTGCGCTAAGAGACATTGCCAGCTGAGGGCTCCAATTCGCATTGAGGTTTCTCGTTCAAGCGAAAGTGTACACAGTATCCCTTAACACTGTGGCTGGACGTTTTATTCAAGGCAAAACCGCCTATTTTTAATTATTTTCGCAGGGTGATTTCTGACACAGAAAGTCCTGAGATGAAGAATATAAGCAGCAATTTACCTCCAACCTGGGAAATGTGGATTTGGAGCACGTCATTTCTGATGGGAAGCTTAGCCACTTTAGTAGCAAATCTGATCACGTTTCAAGTCTTCTGGAATCAAAGAAGAAATTTAAGGCAGACTAGCTTTGTATTAGTCAACTTGGCCTTGGCTGACCTCAGCGTGGGTTTGTCAGAGGGATGTTTTGCTGTGGAGAACTTGCTGTCAAGTTACATGGGAAAAAAGCCCACTGAAATAGGATGTTTAGCTGTTGACGTTTTCTCAGAAGGCGCTTCTTTGACCTTCCTGGGTCTTATGTCGCTAGAGAGAATGCATGCTGTGTTTTGGCCTCTCCGACATCGCATGACCAGACCTCGCAGTTATATTTATGCTATCTGTACATCATGGTTCTTTACCACCATGACGACCGTCCTGTTCATTTTATCTTACGTAGGACTTGTTAACCAGATAATAACGATTGGTCTATTTGTGTTTATAATGGCTGTTATTCCCATTTGCATCTGTGTTGTTTACTCAAGAATCTGGCTTCATTTGCGACACATAAAGAAGCAAAGCTTAAGAAAACACCGCAGCCCGACAACAAACAAGCTGACCAAGACTTTGTTGATTGCTTCTTTTCTTTCATTGGCTGCATGGCTTCCTTTAGGCGTTGCGTTACTGGTTAAGTTCCTTTGTGTCGGCTGCTTGTCGTCAGTGAATGTGACTCGATTGGTTTACGGAGGGAGAATCCTTCAGTATGGCAACTCCCTTTTGAACCCAGTTGTTTATAGCTTACGGATCCCAGAGTTTAAAGACAAGATAATTCAGCTATTTTGTAAGCAGCGTCGCCGGAAATTACGACGAACTGCTCCAGAAACGGCATGCCAGGTGCACGCGTTAAGATCAGCAACTCCAGTGTTACTTTCGTTTACATCGTCAAACTCACCACTGCATCTAGAACGGTCAGGAGTAGAAACATGCTTCACGATGACAAATAATTTATAATGGTAATGTGGTCGAGTGGAGCCCAATTGGGTCTGTGATCATACGAGTGATTGACAGACGGAATTGGACGACAGGAAGTCCTGTTACCAATTAATCATAACCATTTCAGTTTCCGAAAAAAACAAATACACTTAGAACAAATATCTCCCGTGGAGACAGTGTCTTGATATAAAAAAATAACTCAATTTTGGAAATTCCCCAGTTTTCCTTTGAATAAGTGGTTTCTGCTATGGTTATTGCGATCAATTGAGATTGGTGAATATAGCTAAGTGGATTTAGTATGATTGGCTGCTTCAACTGTTCGATTACAGGTATCCGATTACAGTCAACTATCTGATTACACTGTTCGATTACAACTATACAGAATGATCAGTGAAAAATGAAGCTGCGAATGCATCAATAACATTTGAGGAATTTGTAATGGTTATGATTAAAGGAGTATCAAGGGTATAATAGCTTATCTCGAGTCCCTTCAAGTATCCTATCAGGTAAAATTTGACTATCTTAATCGATATCGTTCTGAGATTAGTGTTTACCGAAATAGTAGTTCTCTACAAGCATTTATTTGACATCTGATGATTTATGCTATGTGGTAGTGTGGAATTACAGCTTGATTGATAGACTTTAAATTCTCAAGGAAACGTGAAAGGAAGTCTTGAAGAGGCTTAGATCTGGGAGGGTAGAATAGACAGTTGTTGAATACTTTAGTATCTGTCATAACAGTCGTTGTTGGTGCCTCGCTTAAGAACGATGACTGATTACTGAGCGAAGAGTTATGAAAGAATTTGAATGAGAGTGAGTTTTTAACTATCAAATAAGGCTGAGCTAGCTGTAATTGCTATAATTCTGGCAACTCTTGAGAAGTGTGTCTGTAGGACGTAGCCTATGCCCACCATATGTCATTTGGGTCATGAAATAGTGAAGTATCAAAGATAATTACATATTCACTTGAGTAAACCCCTCCGCTTAAAGTGTTATCGTTAAGAATGGCTCACAGTTCCTTACACAGTTAATTACATTTAGCTTGTTTAAAAACATTTTCCAGGTCCCCCCTCCCCCACCCCCTAATGAAAACCCACCACTTAAGCGATATTTCTTTTTCTTACAGCGTTTTTAGTTTTATTTGGTTGTTTTTTTCCTCAACTTAATTCCTTTTCCATATGTCTACCATAGTTCCGTCGGTCCATTACCAGTTTCTTTCAGTTTAGACTGGAACCGTTTTTCGTTGATGAGAAAATGAGATTTATTTTCCAAAGGATTGGCTAGAATACAATTGATTTTCAATCAACTATTTCGCATGAAAAGAAAAAAACCAAACAACCAAAAAAAGCATATGGCGCAAAAGTGGTTTTTTGCACGAACACTGAGAATTTTATATTTAAATATTCTCTGTTTTCCTTCTTCCCTTTTCTAATAACGGCCTAGGAACCAGTGTATGATAAAAAGGAGAAAAGTCATTATACTCAAATTGCTAACATTGTAATGATTTGTGTCAGTTTGAGGTAACAAAAAATATAATTCGTTAGAGGATTACATAGCTGTTTAGCCTAGAAGAACAGGAATAACAAAGGTACTGGCTGGCGCGCATTGTGCTCTCAATGCACAAAAAGCAGAATTTCCATTGTAAGTAGATAGAGATACTCCCTTGTTGAGATATCAATGGAATGGGATGTTAAGGTTCGCTTTCTCTGAAGGAAAGTGTTCTTAAGGGATTTTTAAAAGTTTGTTGTGTTCAGGGAAAAAGGAAGGCTAATTCAATACGGTAAAGTTGCTCCTGGCAACAGGACATACGGTAACCAATCAAACTGATCGCATGTTGTGACTGACTACATGCATAGTTTTTTTTTTATCTCTGCAATAAAACGCTGATATTGCAGCCGATGTTATATATACTTGAAGTAAGGCAAACTTCAAAATATTTTGGAACTGTAGTCTAATCAATTACTTTGCTTTTTGAATTTAGAAGGTCTCACCACAGACATTGAAAGGCGAAAGACAAACAATTATTTCAAGATTGACCTTATTCATTTCGTTCCAATTTCGTTTAAGCTATGTTATTTCCCACAGAAGGGCATCTGTTTTTGTCATTTATTGTATTGTCCGATAATCTTTTTTTGGAAAATATGGTATTTATTTTCATGTCGAGTTTCAAGTATTGTGATACCACTAATTAAGGATATCTTTTATAACGATGAAGCTGAATGCAGAGGATGTAGCCCCCCAGGACGGAAATCCACGCGGCAAATAGCTTGAGTTATTCACCCACACTAAGGGCAATATTGCTGGTGTTTCTCCAAATAATTCAGGGTGTATTCAAGTCATTGCTAATCAAAGTACAGCGAAGAAACACCGCCTATCTGCTGATGTGTGAGTTCCCCGATATTGTGACAGTGACACTTACCATCAAACAAAGTAAGCCTTGAATTGACTTTAGCTATATTTGATTTGTCATGAAATTATTTGGCATAAAATTGGAAACTTGTTTTTCGCTGGCAAAAGATTTCGACGGTACTTCAAGACTTTAACACGAGTTTTGTATTGCAAACAAGAGAAAAGAAACGCAAATTCAAACTAAAATTCGCTTTACATCTTATCAATAATTGATCCTGATGTTTTATGCTTGTTTTCTTCAAAGTTCAATGTTCTCCGTTCAGCGTATAGTTGACCTTCAAGCTTGGGAGAAGAGGTTCTAAGAGCTCATTTGTCATAAAAACAAGCTATACACCGATGTGTTTTGTTATCGCGAGGAAATAATATTTTGTAAGAAACGCATACTCTCTTCCCAGTATTATTTCTCAGTTCGGCACGACTCTTTATGATTAAATTAATTTTCCTGCATTATTTAGTTGAGAATTTTAGAGTGAATAAAAACTGAGGAACACTTCTATTCGAAGAGAGCAAAATGCAGGGTTGTAACTGATGACTATCGGAAATATAATGGAGGGCAAAAGATATCGTATCGGTTAGGCATAACAACTTACGAATTATAGCGAAACATTTCTACAGCACATTTGAAATTGCGCTATATTGATAATTTTCAGTTAAACTAAAAAGGTGAACTATGGTAGGATTCCACGGCTCGTCTTTCGAATATATCAAATACTTAAAAGATTTGAGGTTTTCTTTACATTTGCCGTAAGTTTCAGGGCTCTCTTGGCATTTTTACTTCTATGAGATATTTTGTACGCACTAATGAAAAAATAAAACCTTAGGCGAGCTAAAAGGATTTTACCAGACAAAACAACGTACCATTTGGCTATGGAGATCATTCCATATCTCTTGACCGCAGCTCAGAATCAATGGCGTCATCCAGATGGAGGCTGTAAGTAGTAATAATATATATATATATATATATATATATATATATATATATATATATATGGATAAATAATTGCTTTTCGCGTATTCTTCGATTCTGTTTCGGCATAAGTGTACTTTAATGTCAAGCTGCTGAATATTCTATAAACTTGTGAACATCAGAAAATATGAACATGACTAATTGATTTTCATGTAGTATAAGCCTTAAGTTCCATTTGCACTTGAACTAAGGCATAGATTTTGTAATTTCGATTGTTTTTGAAAGTAGAAATATAAAGAAATTCTTAAAACTTCTCATAATGAGTAGAAAGTGCAAGCACTGTAGAGAGCGAGTTGTTCTTGTTGACTTTTTCTTAATAAAACAAGTCATGTCTTACAGGTTTACATATCATAAATCTTCGAACTTTATTACTAATCAGAATAAGGGGAGACGAATTGAAGAAAGAAAGTCATGCTGTGTTTTAGCGTAATGAAAATTGAAATAAACACCGGTTTCAATATAATACACTTTAATAAGATTTATCAACATTTCGACTACCTGAAACAAAAAAAAAACAAAACAAAACAAAATAAAACAAAACTAAACCAAACTAAACAAAGCAAAGGAAAACATCAGCAAAAAACAAATATCCGAATGAAAGAAAGTAAGAAAAGAAAAACACGTAGCATTTCAGCTTGATAAGAGTGAAAATAATGATAGGCAGGAGACCATGACAGGCACAATGGTAAGATGATGAAATCGAATACTTATTTAGGATAAATTAACACTTGACTCATAAAGAGCAAAAAAAATCAGACAAAAACAAGCAGCTCACTACGTTATATATAGAATATTGATTGATTTGCTTAGAATTTCCTTTCCGTTCCTCTATACTGCTGGCAGGGATCAAGTAAGATTTATGTCAAATACAAATTAAAAGCGAAGCGAAGCGACGCACAACTTTATAGAGTGACCTTGGAAATGCAAATTTCAAGTTAAATGAAAAATAATTTTGAGACAGATGTTTCAAAAAGGTGTAAGTTTCCTGCCCTTGTCCTTCCTACGATGACACTTATCATCGTGTCATACTCTTCACAGTTTGTACACACACATGCAGTTATTAAGAAACAATAGTTATTTGACATATTTATTTTGTTTATCTTATGTCATTGAGGACACTTAACGAGCAACTGGCAGACGGTTTCTTTCTTGTTTTGTTTTCATTAGAACTACATTAAAGAACTTTGAATGTATTTGCTTCGTTGAATAATTTACGAGGAGAACTTTGGTGTTGCTAGGACACGGATATTACTCACCTCAATTTTCAGAGTCGACGATAGCTCTTTTTACCTGAAATTTGCATTTCTATTAACGCTTTTCTAGCTTTCTGGTGTTTTTAATGGCAATACTCTAACAACCCAAGTGTGCCAGATTGAATCTATTACAATTTAACCTCTAAACAATCTATAACGGTATTCTGCAGATCTCAAGCCGTTAGTGGAATGAATAACAGCAGCAAAAATGCCACATATACCTCAGAAACAGCAGAAATTACGAATATGGAATTTTCATCCTTTATTTTGTGGTGCTTTGCTTTCGGAGCAGTGGGCATTATTGTTATCATCGCAAACATCATTACAATACTGGTTTTTTTCTCAAGCAAATACCTCTTACGCAAACGACACAACCATTTCTTGATCCTATTGGCAATCTCTGATATAATAGTTGGGCTGGTTGTGATACCGTTGTACATTTATCAGCTGGTGTCTTGGTGGACCAACGAACACAGCGTGCTGAGAAATACCCTTTACGACATCTTCACATCAATGGACATCTTATGTGGATTTGCTTCCATCTTCACATTGGCAGTAATTGCTGCAGATCGAGTGTACGCTATTGTATTTCCGTTTTACCACAAAGTCCCTCCTAAAGGAGTTTATCCTTGCATGATAGCTACTGTTTGGGTTTTATCCGGCTTATTAGTAGTGTACTTCTTTTTGTTTCGGATAAATATTCTCCCCAGAGAAGCTTTCGTTTATCTGTTGTTAATTAGCATATCGCTCTCCCTTCTCGTTATTTGCACTTCTTATTTACTAGTGTGGGCTCGTGTGAGATGTTTCGCAATCACTCATGGTTTGAAGGGAGCTTCATTCAGAGAGAGACGCTTAGCAGAGCTGTTGTTTTTAATCACTGTTATTTTCATGTTTACCTGGTTACCTTTCCACATTGTGAATTTTGTATTTCACTTTTGTGCAAATCCAAAATGTCAGCCTTCGACTAAACTTGTTTATTTCAGCAAACTTTTGCACTACAGTAATTCGTTTTTCAACCCCATAGTTTATTCTTACAGAAATATCGAGTTTCGACAATGTCTGAAACGGCTCGCGAAAAATGTAACGTCTCAGTCAAAACCTTTACTAGCAGAAAGGAAAGAACCAAATCTTAAAGGCGATCAGAGAAAAAGAAGGATGCTGCTAGAGAGGCAAGAAGCGTTTCGTCGCATTGTGTTGAAAGAAAGCAGAGTTTAGAATAAACGATGATTGCGTATATAGCTATGAAACGGTAAAATTACTTTCTAGTTATAAAATACATAGTCCACAAATGATGACGTGTAACTCCTTAGGTGAATAATTCTTATCGTATTCCTATCTTTTAAATAATGGAGTAAAAATAATCTCGATGGAATATCAAAGCAACAATAACAAAAAAATACATGAATCTATCTATTGGTTAGCTGTAAAAAAGAAATAAAACATACCCGCTAAACAAATGCGGGGGTGGAGCCAAAAAACAAAGAGATAACATTTAAAATTCGCATTTTATCTGACTGTTTACAGAATGCAAATAGCACTTTTGGGTAGTAAATTACCATATCTGTTAATGTATTGTAAAAATAGAGACTTTAACATCATCAGATGTAAAATTGAAAAAAAGGACATGCACTAAACAAAAGTTATGGCCGGTAAATCACAACAATTTGTCGAGAGAAAAGGCACTTTTCTATCTCGACCCAGCAGGTGTTTTCACGCCAAAGGCAACAAATTTTTTTTCAACACCTTTCAACGTTTGTCTCCGTCAAACCTCCCTCGTGGCTCAAAAATTTCATTCTTCCTCAACTGACTCGATTGTTTCCTTTAAATTTTATTTCTTTTGTTTGTGATTAGAATTCTTGCTTTCTTTTTATTTCTTCTATTTCTAATCAAACAATTTTTTAGCATTCCAGTCAGGCTCTCCACACACGTTCTGAATCTTAACGGGAACGTTTGCAATGATATGCAAATTTTCTCAGCGATCCACTGCCGTTGGACGCTCTAAAAGTGGTGTTTGACAGCGGGAGCATGTCTTAAGTTAGAAGCTGAATGGAAGGATTTGAAAATTTGGTAAAATTTCCGCACAGCCCCATACTTCATTATGCATTTAGTTCTTGAATAGAGAAAACAATGACTAAAACAATACATTGCCATTGGGAAAACAGATTTGTTTTACAATAGTATGGGGCTGTGCGGAAATTTTACCGAAAATTTTTATGTCATCACTCCCGCCCGCTACTTTTAGGAATCTTAAGACGGGGAAATTGTAATTTAACCAATGTTGTGATAATGTTCAAAATTCTATGCTATTTAGAGCACACCTCTGCTTTAAATATGATACAGCAATTAGTGGATGGTTGTTTGTTTAATTCTTTTATTTCAACCACAATAACTAATAGTAATTGAACTGGGTGAAGTGCACTTTGTATAGGTAATCACATAATTTCGAGTGCAATTTGGTATAATTAAGCACGAATAAGTTTTTTCAAAGGCTAACAAAACTGCACGAGCCTGCAGGGCCAGTGCAATTTGTGGTTTTGAAAAAAATTACTGGTGCTTTTTTACTCTAAATTGCACGAGAAAAATCATGTGATTACTTATTAATTGTAAACATGAAAAAATACGAGGTAGCTTATCATAATTACGCAAAAGCAAAGCGCACGAATCAAGTGCAAAATAATCTATTCAAATCCTGGAAGTGCGTTCGGCAAAAACAACCGCGTGCGATCAAAACAATAATATACAATGATGTTTTCACATCTTAAAGGCGCAAGAAAGTTTAAAGTCCTGCTAAACAGTTCAAGGAATTGTTCAGTCTGGTTTGTTACTTTTTTGCACTGAATTAACCCTCTTCTACATCGAATTCCCGAAAACTGTATTTATATTAACCAATCAGAACTGAGTAATTTTTTCATGTATCTTACTAGGTCTGAAATCATATGCGTGATTTGAAATCGCAAGTATTTTATCAGACCCAAACTGCATGATACGAAGTTCATTTACCACTTTATTACACCAATATTTAAATTGCAATATCAGTTGTTTAGACATGGGATTTTCTAGTCTGTTCAAATATTTTGTTGATCCAGTAGTGAGCTGGTTTGAAGAAGTTGCAAGAGCTTTTGTTGTATTTTTATTATTTTCGTGCACTTTGATTGGTATCTTGAAACAAGCGATTGGTTTCTGTATTTTAATAAAGCTTCCTCATTGGCTGGGGAAAAGACGCGATTTAGAGCAAAAAATTATACGATTCGTGAATAAAGCGCACAAATAAGAGCCAATCAGATTGCAAGGATCACCACTGATTTCAAAATCAATGTAATACATCAATTAATTAAATTGATTTCACGGTAATTCATAATAACTATGATTGGTACCATTGGTAACCATTGGTAACCACTGGTACAAAGTTTTACTACTAAATCCTTTTTTTACCCTTTTTTTTTTTAATTTATCCTCTTTTCTTAGTCTTAGCACTCTTGATGTAGGCACATATAATTATACTTCAATGATAGCCTCTCGCAGCCCAAATGCTGTTTGTTGATAGCAAAGATGACCTCTGGAAGCTCAAAGTTATCTTCCTTGACTTTAACTTCACAGTTCTTCTGCACCTCCGATGTTATCCAGTGGTATTTCTTCAATTTTGGGCGTTTCCTCCACAACGACAAATGTCTCTTTGCACAACTTTCTACCAAGTGCTATTCTAAATTCAGGCATTTGAAACGAATAGATAATCGGATTTATGAATGAGTTAGCATAGTGCAGTAATTTGCAGAAAAACAAGGCATTGTGAGGCAGCTTGGTCGTTAAACAGAAATCGCAGAAAAAGTTAATTATGTTCAGGAGATGGAAAGGTAGCCACGTAAGAACAAAAGTCAATGTGATGGTCAAAAGCATTCTTGCTACTTTTTTATCGTTCCCTGAAGCGCGGCCCTGAGAGGTAAAATAGAATTTAACCCTTATCCAAATGCCTAAATATGATGCACAAATGACGAGCAAGCATACGCTTAACGATGACATCATAACATAAAAGAATACGTCGAAGGAAATAGCATGAAACTTGTACAATAAGTGAAGTATGGTGATAGCGAAGGAAAGAATCCACACCATTCCAATCATTAACAGGCATTTCAGATCTGTCAGAACGTGGACTCGGTAAAGCGGTCTGCAAAATGCGTAAAGGCGCTCCAAGCCAATGGCTGTTAGTGTGAAAACAGACGCAAAACCTGAAGCTATGTCCACAGAAGTATATACGCTTTGATATGTGACGTTGTCAATGTGATGGCTTAGCAGAATTATGTACATGGGAACGGTTATTGCGCCGACAAGTAAGTCAGCAGCGGCCAAGTTGAGTAGGAAGTAGCTTGCACGCATCTGCATCAGCTTTTTACAACCACAGAAGGCGACTATTGTTAGGACGTTTCCTGACACGATGGCAAAAGCAATCAGGCTAAATGCTACACTCCATCCAATAGTTTGCGAAGACATCATCGTAAATGATATCAATTATCAAAACTGCAAAAGGGATGAGAAAAAAAATATTGTTAGAGGAAGTAAAGCTGTTAAGGCCAGCACAGTGGTAGATCATTCACTATTCTCTTGGGCTGCACTAATAGATTCTAGACCCTCGAGTCTTTCGCCCAATATAGTACTGGCCCTAGGCCGGGGAAGACTGGATAAAGGTGATAAGTGCAATGAAGGTTATTTTCCAGAGTTCCAACTAATATAGTTGACCTATCACACTAGGCATTAACACAAGGTACTCGAGCCTCCCTGAGAAGAAAAGAAAAAAAAACGGCGACAGGTGATGACTGAGTATTTGGCTGCGTTGTGTGGTTCCCTGTCATCAAAAATTTTACCAAAGCATCGAGAATAAACCTCTTCCTTAAATGGTGGTCCTAAATTCTACTCTTCTGTATTTGTGCGGTTTGCTTCTCTTGCCTCAAAGGAAATTATTTTGAAGACAGTAAAAGTATCTCTCAAAATCGAGGCCAAAGTCTCGTGTGCATGTACATGGAAGAATAAAAATAAGCTCTGCCGTTATGAAAGAGGTTTGTGGAAAGTAAAATTTTAAGGGCATATTACACTGACTCATGCCTATCAGAGGGCTCGAGAAAGAGCTGGCTGAATCTGTGTTTCCGTTATTGATGAGGGTCCTTAAAGCCTCGATCATAGTGTTTATTCATTCGAAAATTGATTGCCTTTTTCGGGATCATTAGAATAATCATTAAAATATTAAGGAACCTTACTGGGGCATCAGGTAAATGTGACAGGTAACTACTATTGTGACACAACTAAAATCCTACACCCAACCCCCCTCCCCCCCCCTTTAAAATAATAATATTCATTTTCAATAATTTTAAAATGATAAAAGAGCCGAGTCAGAATCTTGACAATTAAAATGCCACGTTTCTTTGAATCAGGAAAAATGAAAAGGAAACTGTTATTTATTTACATGAAAAATGGCAACACCTGAGAGGAACAAATTGGATCATGCTCAGTAATTAGTCAGAAAGTAAGCCTTTCTAATATTCTCTAATTTTTCCTCCGCTATTCTAGTGTTTTTCCAAAACTGGACAGACTAACACGTTCATTCTATTACCAACTGTTCACCATCAAATTTGAACAACATGGAAATATCTTGACGTTTAGTAACGGAGCAATCTTTCATTTAGCATCGGAAATTTTGCTTCCGATGCAAATTTTCGAGTGACATAAACAGAAAGTATATTTAAATGAAGTACATTGTATTCTGATCTGTAGTCGATGTAGCGAAATGATTCTCGCAAGTGAGCCGCAATCGAAGAAATTGTAGCAAATTAACTAACTAGCATATTGGGTTTAGAAAAAAGTCTTTCTCAGTCTTTAATTATCACTGTGCTTTTATTTAAACCTATATTTTCTTTTTTTAAGTGTGCGTAAGTAATTGCGAAATTTTTCAACACAAATAAGAGCTTGAAGGAATAAATATTTTTGTCAACTCATAAGACTGCTCTAAAGATAGGGAAACAAATTAAAGTCGAAGTCGTAGACCGATACATTACTTATTAAAGGAATTTTTTTGGATGGTCTATTAGCCATAAGAGACTCCAAGGTAGCATCAACTAATATGCATTCCGAATTCAAGATATAAATCAGGTTTTACGCAAGAAAATTCAATTATGGTTTTCCTAAGAAGCAATTACTGCAGTTGGTGTTATTTTTTTTTCTGTTTTTTTTTTTTTTCCAAGTAGCTTAGGCGAAACAATGTGGACAAATTACAGCTTCTTTCAAAAGCTTCGCTTTGGTCCAAAATAGTTCACCTTCAATTTCCCTCACAATTGACGGGAATCAAGATATTTTATTCAACAATGCAGTCTTTAGCAATTCATGAATAAACGGTAGCTGGAGGCACCCCTTCAAATAACGTCTTTTCGATGTGTTTTACTCGAGATTTCTAGCTAAAATAAAAATCAATGGATCAGGTTAAAATTAGGTTACTCTGTGTTTCCTCATTCCTGGCCAACTTCTTTGTAACACTGATCGATTTTTATGTTTTAAAAAGATGCATTTTTACTTAATTTCCAAATGTACTGAGTCAGAAGCTATCAGTCGGTTATCAATGACTTAAAATGTCATTCGGATCTACGACTACATTTAATGATAAAAAACCTTTCTATTAGAAAATCCCACCTTCTAGTTCCCGTTGTCAAGACGAAAAACCCAATTTATCATTCACAGATCTAGAGGATCTTTTCGTCGACAGTTTCTATAAATATAAATGCCATAATCGTTAAATACGGTTGGTCTATGAAAGCAGAAGGCGTCAGGACGTTTTAAGCAATACATCACCTTGGAATTGTGGTTAATCCTTCTTAGGTAAGTATAGAGAAATTTTGAAACGGCGCTCAGTTTCTTGCGATCGAAAGCTCTCGATCTACTTTCAGCTGCAACTTCCTGTATTCAAGTTTAGAATGATTAGTTAAGTTTACAGCGTTTGGTGCCTAAAGGCTGAGCGCCCTACTGGGAAGAGAAAAGTTATTAAATCGATCCCTCATATTTGTGGGTAGGTGAAATTTGGATTTTTTTTTTAATCTATCATAATTGAATATTTCATTTTGTTGTATGTTTCACACCAATCCTATGATTTCATGCATTCTTCCAAATTTGAGCTAAAATGGGATCGGAAATAAGCCAGTGTAAGGGATTTAGAGCCAGATTCTCATTAGGAAACAGCGGAAAAGGCCGAGTCAAATCCCGCTGAACAAATTAACGGGAAACGTTCAATCAGCGAACTAAAGGAACATTACTTCTTTCCAGCCGGCATCTTCCAAAAAAGAACTGTTTTACCAAGCACCCCCCCGAAAAAGAAAGATAAATTCAATGAAGTTTAGTTTTTTCTTCCTGCAGTTCCTGTCTAATCGTATTTTAAATTTTAGGGGTCAAAATAGAATTTAAATCAAACTAAAAGGTTTGCAACAGCTGTTCTATAAATTAATTGACGCGACATATTTATGAAAATAGGGAGCAACTTATCGGAAAAATTGTTAAGAATAACAAAGAGTAAAACTAATTAGAAACAGCAGCATCCTTTGAAAAAAGGCCTGATTTGATAAAAAAGCACATTATTTGGAAATCATGTTTATACTATGATTTGAATAGTAGAGTAGCGCGTGCGTAAGTCAATATCACTTCTTTTTAAAGATTTTAAGTAAAAACTTACGAAATCAATAAAACAATATAGAAAAAGAGGCTACAGCAACATAATGACCGAGAAAAACCAACATCAGACAGTGAGGTGTCCTAAAGATGAACTAAGAGCTGGATTTTAGCATGCATAAAGATGATACAACAACAACGACGGCAAAAACATTAAAAACAAAGCAAATAATGATTCCGAAAAGTTGCACTGAGCAGTGGGTTCTTAGAATGGTGATAGGGGATAGTGGAGCCAGGGGCTGGAAGAGAGGGGGTGGGGGGTGGGGTTAGTTAGCTGTTGATTATTGCAAAGCTTTTGGACACGAGACAGGTATACGTTTCGATGAATTGTCTCTTAAATGTGTCTCCTGTTGTCATAGGATTTCAATAGAAAAACAGATGGTGGAAATATGGATTGGTACAATGTATACATCTAATTGCGGAAAATGATATTTAAGGAAAAAGGAAAAAGAAAAAGGAAGGAAGCAAAAGCAAAACACATACGAATCAGCATATATCATAACCAAACGGTACTACAATATCATTCTTTTTTTTACTTTTACGATCGATGGAAGTTTCTAGACAAAATCCAATACCCTCACGCGGTTTAAAAGTATTTACAAAATTATTCGGCTGGCACGTATATGGCCAAGGTATATAGCTAGAGGGGAGTTTTGTATGCTAATAAATATGTATTTGGCTTTTTCCTTTTTTTTTTTTAATTTTGCTTTTTGCTATGATAACGTTATTGCAATTGAGTACATATATTTATGTACAAATGTTTTGTGAGAGTTACGTTATAAATCGAAAAGTTAATAAAGCGTTCCCTTTGGTACAGAATTAAGAATTCTATCCTTAACAAAGCGAGGCTTTTGACCAATCCCATAATTCCAAAAACAAAATATTGATATCCAATTCCGTGTCCGATTTGGACAGATGTTACTAAAGTTTAAATAAATTACTGTCACAATCTTTAATGAGAATTGCAACATAAAAGGTTCCTTTCACTTTTATTAATCATTTCATGTATACTGTGTTCCTACATCTAAAAGGGAAAGTAGAATGAAAATTGCTTCTTAGCGGAAGACTAGAAAAATTGTTAGCTTTATTCAATTGTACGTGGGATTGGAATATCCCCCACACAACAATATATTTAAGCGCGACTTCCCCTTGTCAAAACCACACAAATTAAAGCTTTTTCCCAGAAAATCACCGCAGGCGTTCCACTGATATGAAATGCTGTAATTTGAGAAACTTGGCAGGTGGTCCTATTGGTTAATTCTTACTACACAAATATATTTCGTTATTTGCGCGAGTTTGCGTGAAAGAAACTACTAGAAGCTACGGTTATTTGCAGAAGTTGAAATATGGTTTTGCACAAATACAAATTGTGTGCGGGTGTCGTTTAAATAATAATCGTTGGTACAATGGAAATCAAATGACATGGATCCAACCGCAACATTTTTGCTTAGGGCAGTCGGCGTTTCAAATGAATTTGCACGTCTCAAATCTTTGATACCATGATTCATGTTTGTATTGGTCAAATGATTGTTGATTTTACGTGACAAAGTGCACCAAAACATCTTCTCAATTTTCTCGTGAAATTTTGCTAGGAAAATGTAGCATATTCAAAGTCCAACTGATTGACGGAGCTTTCCTTGTTTTTAATTTAAAATTTGCAGACAAGTGCATCATCAGATTTTTGTTGTTTTCTTTTAGACTATTTAAGCTTAATTGTCGAAATTCTAAAATAAGAATTACTGCTTTGCCTTGTATCAAAATATGATTTGAAGAGCTGTTTTGGCGAAGTTTTATCTACTATCTGTAATTGGCCTAAAAGAAAGGTGACTGTATTATTTAAGATGGTAGATGTAAGCCAAGCCCGACGCTGAATCATTTGCTACAATATTCAACAATTTTTACAATTAGCATATTCCTAATGTAAACATCCTGATATGAGATATGAAACATTGAAACCTCAAACTGTGGACTCCATTATCAGTTTTCCTCTCACAGCGAAGTTAAGGTCAAAAGGATAATGTCTTTCTGAGGTAAGTCTGCAAAGTAAATCTGAAAATTTATATCAAATTGACTCGTAAATATGCGAAAATTACAAATTCTTGAAACGAATCAAGTAAGCAAGAGGATCAGGAGTTCGACCGATCGAAATATTCTAAAACAATGTTCTTCCTGTTTCCCCTTTCTGTTTTCGGAATTTCCCATAAATGAAAAGAATCCTGTCGATGTAAGATCGAGGCCTGAAACCAAAACATACACTTGATTTCTAAACACTTTTGTTTCGTGAATTCTCTTACTCGACTCCGTCTAGAAAAATGTAATTCTTCTGTAATTTATTCCCTCTAAAGACATCTTTTCAAATTTCGTAATACAAACTGCAGCTGTGGTAACATTACTGGCTTTTGTAAATCTCCTTGTCGTTCAGCGAAAATCGAGACGTAATTCATGGTAATTTTTGCAGTGGATGCAGTTTAACCTATGTCGGCTTTGTTAATCTTTCATAATTCAAAATGCTCTAAGACATATTAAATAATTCGTTTTGCACAAAAAAGTTCTAATTAGCGGTGTTTTGTATCTCAAATCTATTAATGCCATATTTGGAAAGTTACATTTATCCCTGAACCATATAGGATATGTGTAACGTTTTCGAAAGAGACGATGAGAGGATAATTTAGTCTATTTTCACGGACACACAAAAAATAGCAGATGTTTTTCTTCGGTTTGCTATTCATTCTTTGGATCAACTGAGACAATTTGGCTGTGTCAAATCAATTTAATCATAGCTATGTTTAACTATGAATATAGTGTCATTAACGAGCAGAGATGTAGATTGAGGAACTGAATAAGAATTGGCGACATTTTGTAATTAACTTATAACTATAATTGTACAGGGCAAAATTTGTCGGTTAAAACTTGACAAGCATAAAGAAAATAAAATGTAATAAGCGTGAAAAGATATGCTAGCGGTGAGGAGAGAATTCTTGATTTTTGTCTGCGGTTCATTTCTTAATTGTTGTTTGCCAAACATATAAGGGATTTTTTTTTTTGGTTTATCTTTAAAGTGTTCTCTTCTTGAACTGAAAGCTTTTAAAATTGGATTTTTAAGAGGTATCCAGGATATACATGGAGTTTATTCAAAACATCGACGTTATCATGCTACATACACCTGCTGTTAAATGTTTGGTGCTTACTGACTAACGGCAACCATTCAAAAATGGAATAAACATTCCCTGGGGACGCTTTAAGCTAACGAGCTAACGAGCTAACGTTTCGTCGAATAAACTGACGTGATAGTTGAAAATCGGACTGTATCGAAATTTACACCCTATGGTAGATTACATAGCCTTAGCTTCGATTTATTCAGGACGACAGGTCTTTCTTTCAATTTCAGATATTTTAAAGGAAATATCAGTGTAGGAGGATGGCAGGTGCGGAACAAAAACATGATTAATTTGAAATGAAAGCATTTAATCTAAACGGGATTATTCTTCCATTTGATGGTTCTGTGAACGATATGTCTGACTGACTTTCTCGACGTTTAAATATATATTCTGTCTATATTCTCCAACGTAATCATTTGCATGCACCCAACAGGCAATTTATTCTCCTTGTGAGAGCTTCCAACTGGGATTCCAGTCTGAGTGCAACATTCATATGGAAACAGAATAAAACCGCTGAGTTTGTATTCGTTGGTAACGGCAATGAAGGTTGATTGGAATGAATGTATTTGGTAGCGGTAATTCGATGTTCTTTATAGTACTTTGAGCCAACGAATAAATAGGATAACAGGTGAAAATGTATATGTGAATTCCACATCTTACTCATAATTTTATGATTGAATCGTCGAGATGAAATATACCATGGCTTGTAGCTGGCCTAACCATCAAGTGATTCAAAATCATCGTCCTTTTGGAAAATATTTGATAATCTTCTCCTGTTGAAAATATATTCCTTGTGCTGCTGTCAAAAATCTAACTCACTCTAACGCCAGTCA